TTGTCTTGTTTACGTGCCGTACCTTGGTAACATGTTGCCAGTGTTGTTCCATTCAGAGACGTTAGTTCTGTACCATGGATGTTGAGTTCCTGATGAAGTCTGCCCACTTTCCGTAACGGTTTTAAAATCCGTCATTTCCTAAGTTTAGGTGCATGGCACGTGGTTAGGCTGCAATTAGGCACTACGTTCCATCATTATAACCTGAAATAAAACGTAGTTATATATCCCGCACAGATCAAACATTTAGTGTATTAAGACTTTAATGATGCACAGACATTAGGTCTTAGTCTCTGTGTAACACAAATTGCCATTTTTCATAAGTTCTAAGCTATGCTTTGATGCCACAATAAAACATGCATAAAGTTTAAAACTTCGTTCATTCACTACAGAATGTATCAAGAGATCTAACCAATGTTCAGTCGCTCGGCACTTGCGGCCTTTAGGTAAGAAAGGAATGCAAATTACCCAGCCCCCTCCCTACATATAACAGCACCCAGCGTCTATGTTTGTTGTTTTTTTTTTTGAGAAAATCTACATACCTTTTCGTCACTTTCCATAGTGATGTTCTGTAACATCGTCACGTTCATATGTGTTACCTTCTGTTTTGGCAGAGGTTGTGGCCTAAAAATGGTGGCCCAATTATTTTGCTTGAAAATAAAAGACAATGGTAGTTTAAAGTTAAAATCAAAAATCCGAAACGACTGATAAGAAATAGAGATGAAACATTTGAAAGAGCAATAATGGTCTTCTTAGTTAATCACCTTAGCCTAAGATATAGAGTCTTTACAAACCTGTACGTGATAAACTGCTGCTCCTGACAGGAAGACTGCGAGAAGAAAGACTGTGTGTAATCTGCTGAACACCATGATGATGTACCTCAGACAGCGAAACAACTGCATATATGAAAAGTAGGAATATGTCAATCCACTTTTTAAAGGTGCGTATACTTAACTTTGGTCAAGCATGTCTCCGTTAATATTTGATAATTAATCTTGCTTTTTTTCATCATTTCGTATTATCAAAGCTTGTCTAGTGCCATTTAGAATAATACATTGTTTAGTACAATCCTACAGCCGTACAGCGAAAATGTGGTTCTGTCAAAAATTTCATTCGGCTAACGTCTAAACTGCTTGCGCCGAAACCACCCAACTCGGTGACTTGCATCATTTAGTGATAAGTATAAGTCTTCACCAACGTAAATTATTCCAACGTTTACCTTTCAGTCAATATACATAATTCTACACTCAAATTCTCACCTCTGTAACATCAACACTGGGATCATCGACTTCAATCAGCAATCAACTACCGTCCATTTGCAGTATCCTGTTATTTTGGGGTATCTCTCTTTATACTAATTATACACTATACAGAGGGTATTATATACTATACAGAGGGTAAGCGATAACAATCGAGGACGATCATGGTGACAGATGTACTGCCAAGGACGCCTGTACAATATACATACGTATTCTGTTGTCTAGGTTACAATACAAAGGAACCTTTACCAGACAGACAGAATACAAAACCGTAGAAGCCGAGTGTCATGTTTTATTACCTTGACACTGACAGGTAGTGGATGCCACCTGAAACGTCTGACTGTTTCTAAAATCATACCCAGTTTGCTTAAGTAACTGTTTTTTTGCGTATCGTATTACCTAGATGTCTAACTTTCACAGGCGGATTTTTTTAAAGAGATGTTTTTGTCTACATTTTATTACAAGACGTAATTACACAAACTCAAGTTTTTTTTTTCAACTAATTTCTATGCCAGCAACGCAGAGCACAAAAATATCAACATACAATAGACATACTCACTTTAACCTTAGTAACGAAAGTCGTGTAAAGTGATTTTTTCAAGGGCAAAATATAGGCAAGACTTGAATTTTGGACCTCTTGGTTCTGAGCCGAACGTTCTGCCGATAAGCCACATTACCCCAGTGGGGCTACAGAAGAGTTATAGCCGCAGTGCGAATGACCTATCACCACGCCATCTTACCATGAAATATTTATTAGTTATACGCAAAGTTTTTGTTGAGACAAAATGAAAGTCGATAGGCTTCATGATTTGATTGAATAGCAATGTGTTTTCCAACGAATACAAAATGTGGTTAAAGGCCTTACATTTGTTCCGTGTGTCAGGCACAACAATATCCGTATGCCATACATTAGTATGTATCAATCGATTTATTAAATGGCAATCGATTTATACAATCTATTACCATACAATAGTATGTATAACAATAGATTTCAAAGTGTAACCATGTTATTTCCTTTCTTGCAGTTACCTATTAGTAAGCTATTGTAGGCATTTGTGGTAGCCTAAAACAATGGACATAAATGAATGTATTATACTATAAACTTACATCGCACTTTTTGTTGAGAATAAAGCTTCGGTCACAACCCGCCGTACGTGCTTCTGCGTGCTGTCTAAGTGCAAAAACGTGGGCAAACGCAGGGCATCCGTACGGAGTCCTACGGATTTTGGAGCACGCAGACACGCCGTAGTAGAAGTGCATGCAAAGCTTTTCTACGTGCGGTCTGCGGATTCATCACCCGTACGTGCGAGTGCGTGCGACGCACGTGCCCCGTACGTGCCGTACGGAATAAGCACGTGTGAGTACGGCCTCCTTACGGTAAAGTTGCAATCGCACAGAGATCGTACGCTGAAAGCACGTACAACTCACTTACCACTTGCGCAACGTACGATGCACGCAACCGCTCACTGCCAGACGTGGCGTTCAGACCACACTCTTACACCTTGCACAACCGTGCGAGTGACGTGCGTCGACGCCACTCCTTCCTCACGTTTTCTGAAAAAACGTAGCAGACGTAGCCTCCAAAAAAACGTACGGACAAAAAGCACGTACGGCGGGTTGTGACCGAGGCTTAAGGCAAGCCAATTGGCCCATATACATAAATATTAAATCATCAGCATATTTTACGTGTGCATAGTATTATAATATAGATAGATGACGTTAACTAATCAGAAGTTCCTAATTTTTATTTGTCATGATTCTATTTTTTTCATATTTGGTAATTCATTGGAATAATTAACCACTTATGCAGTGGGGGCATAATGTTTTACCAATATTTGTAGCACGATTTTTTTCTTTAAAACATGTTAATAAAAATGAACTTTGAGTGGAAAGAATGAAAGACATTTGCGTCACCCCAACTGTAAAAGAAAAAAATGACCACCAATGACCCCAAATGAAACACGCGTTCTGTTATGTATTCAAAATACCTAATTTTTGCAAATAAACGGAGGCATTTTACCTCTCTAAACATTCAATGACCATTCAATTAGCCTAAAATTCTAAGTCCATTTTAGCCTCCTTGTAGCAGCAATCAAATCACTAATAATTAAAGTCACGCGTTGCAACAAAAGGGTATTACAACTTTGAAGGTATAAGCATTGCCAACACAACAGTGCAGTCCTTCAATGTCCTGCTAGAGGCCGCATTTGATCCATGCCTTTCTCTTCCAGACTTCTTTCACTGTCGTACAGATGACTTTGCGGCTATAATCAATATAGGTCATCCTTATGATGTTCCAATAAAGAACAGGAATGATAAAAATATGTAGTTTCACTGTATTTTGTCAAAAGATTTCTGATTGGCCTCATACTTAGTTAGTAATCATCTCCAAAGTCATAATCAAGGGTACACAAAAATCATAGTTATAGTCATTATCATAGTCATTATATAACATATAGAATCACTCAGTTCCTAAGTTGCAAAGTTTACCAAATAAACACGTTTACAGTACGTTATTGTTACATGTACATGAATGTAGATGTGGTGTACACTATACATGTACATGTACGTAAAGACATGCATGTTACAGAACTATCAAATATACATTTTTGTACAGAGATTGTTCAATGCTGACAGAAAGTTTAAATGATAAATATTGTTAACCTAACGACTTTTCCCAACCTTTCATGCAATAAAGGTTTCCATTGTTTTCTGTTCTCCTGTGCTGAGCTGCCTACAGCTACCTAATATACCTGATTATTCGAAAGCAATACATTACTTGTGCTGTTCTACAGTATGAGTCATTTTGAGGCTTAACCTTCTGGCTTTATTTGTTTATTGTTATATTTTGACGTCTAATGATAAACCGATGTTAGTAGTGTGAAATTAAATACGAGTAGCCGGCTCATCGATATTAATAATCAAGGTATAGCTCACCGAAGGAGTTGGTGACATTGTCCCCGTACGTAGCCGATCGCTTGTACGTTCAGACAGAAAGAGATAGGGGACGCTACCCCCGGTCAAACCATATTATCTTGACCAATCAGGCTACGCCTTGCGCAACCGGTCTCTGATACATCTGGGATGCATTTACACGGCTTTAGGCCATATTGATTTGATTATATGGATGACATCCGCGCGCGCATGAATTTTCGGCCGTTTACAAAAAAAAAGTTTTCAACCATACTGTAAATCGTACAAAACAGTTACAAAATGAGCAAAAATATACCATAAGTTACAAAAAAAATTAATAAAAACTATACCAATGTCGTAGAATGCCAAAATCAAACAAAAAAGACGAAATTGTAAAGAAATAAACTTGAAGACTAGATTATTCGCCAAACCATATTCTGTCCCATTTGTTCAACCCTCATGACCACGTAGATTTCATTATGACTTTTTTTTTTGCAAAACTTTTTTTTTATTCGCACGCGCGCATCAGTTTTGGGGCTCCCGGAGGATGTCATCCATATAATCAAATCAACATGGCCTTACCAAGAAATCCGCTCCGTAGAAAAACAACATTTCTATGGACTACGATATCAAACGCGATCTCTGTCGATAGAATGCCCTTAGGAAATTAGACAAAGATACCCTCAACATCAGATACCTTGGATAAAAAATAAAGCAGCATAGTCCGAGTATTACCTGTCTGATGTCAGACTTGGACAGACTTACTATCGGTAGAACAATGTTAATTTTACAGGCCTTGGAAATTATGACGTATAATGAAACAAGTGACTTCTAATGATACACCGATTGCAGTAGTGGATACCAATATTTTCTGACATTGGGTTTATCATAACTCTTACATAAAAAGCTGTTGACAGAGAAAGCCTCACTCCATTTGCTTTTCTGCACAGTCATGTTTCTTGAAGTATGTGGTTTGATGGATCGGCAGAAGATTGAGACGTTTTCGTTCACGCGCTTAAAATGTTGAACCTCTTGTAGAAAATCGGCGCCCTCTTTCTTGATCTGCTTCTGGAACGAGTCTTTGAAATGCGTGTATAACATGACATCGGCATGGTTGTGTTTGTAAAACCTGTCCTTCATACGGCCTGTGATGTTTGCCTTAAGTCTGTATTGCTGCTTTTTTGACGTCCAGTAAAGGATATCGTGAAACGTCCAACACATTCGCCGTTTTAGAAGAACTAATGATTCTGGCAGATACTCTAAGATCATCACTGTTGTAAAGTCATTGTCTATGCCTTCTATGAAGTCTTGAACAGCATTGAAGTTGTCATAATCATTCTCTTTGAGTCCCAAATCGCGAGCCATGCAGTTCCTGAAGCAAAGATGTTCTCTGTCTTCTTTGGATTGAGGTGGACGGAATCGCATATCCCAAAACTTAGGCCTCTTAAGATACGTTGTTACGTAAGAAATTCCACGGGGAGTCTGTCTCTTAAGCCCAGGAAATCTCGTTTCAAGATGAAAGTACTGGAAAGCAGACTGCAGCCGTCGTAGTGGTTCTCGTAGAATAGTAACATACCTTGAAAATAAAAATTGTGTGTACAAAATCATTTAACCCTATTCAGACCAGGATTTTTTTTTTTTGCTTTTGAGGCTTACCTCTTCACTCAACGATCACTTATCGAAGATTTCACCATTTTTTTAAACGATGAAGTTGTAAAGTTAAATGGTAACAAAAACTTTTGTGTAACTACATTTGTGTATGACGTCGACGTCATGTGATTTTTTGGGCTAAAACCTGAAACATCGTTTTTTTTCGTAGAACTCAGGGGAAACAACGGAATTGAAACAAAGTGTCTGATAGAATTTGAAGGTCCACTAAGATTTATGTTGGCCCTGGCAACAGCACTGACGTCACAATGACGTCATAAATTAACGCCATGCATATTTAAGCTATCGGCCATCTTGGATCGGCAATCTTGAATTTTGAAAATACATTTTTCAAAATACGGCGTAAAAAGGCATTGTAAATGGACAAAAAATGATTTCAAAGTCTTACTAAAAAATACGGAGTTTGGATGAAACATTTGTAAGTAAAAACGTGGTTACACCAGAGGAAATGAAATGGTCCACCACCTTGGATTTTGAACAATGACGTAATGAATTCGCATGGGTTATGAATATCTGATTACTGGATTACTTATCCAATTATTACGATTTTTTGCCAGATATATTTAAGGAAAAAAAATCACTGAATTCGATGGTAAACCGTCAGGCGCTATCCTAGATGAATGTTAGCGCGGGTCTCAAAGCACCCCCCTTGTCTGAATAGGGTTAACTGAAGATGGATCGTATCGTTCACAGTCATTAGTATGCACATGCGATCGAAAACATTGTCACCTCTTATATGGAATAGGGGGTGTACATGTATTTTTACTACACCCTTTCTATTGTTAAAGCTGACGTGTATTGATCAAACATCAGTATTGACTAGCACTGCTGTTTATAACATGACGTGACAGCGGTAATACTGGTTGTGTAATACTAAAACATTTCGACCTGTATGTTTGCATTCATACGTTTCCTTTGACAAATCCTAATGACCATAATGTTGTACCAAATGGCATTGAAATCATTCAACAATTATCAAGCAAAGCTTTAAGCATGAAATACAATTTGAGCATCATTAACTAGTCACCAGATAGCGAACGCTATTTAGACCTCGTACCTTGTATTGGGATCCATGAGTTGGTGGAAGCGTGTTCTGTTGTATATAGCGTGGAGAGTAAAGATGTTCCACCGTTTTCCACCAGGTGGATGCTTATAGTCGCTCTCACTGTACGCAACAACATGGATGTATGCATACTTTGTTTGAAATTATGAAAAAGCCATGTTGATTTGATTATATGGATGACATCCTCTGGAAACCGATCCTCTCCAAAACTGATGCAAGCCTCCGGATTAAAAAAAAAACAACTTTCAAGATCAAGATCGTGGTCATGAAGGTTGAACAAATGCTAAAGAGTATGTTATGACGAAAAATGTACTCTTCAAATTCACTTCCTTTCATTTTAGTCTTTTTCGTTTGTTTTTTTACATTCTACAACGTTGTTTTTTTTTGGGGGGGGGGTACATATATATTTTCTTGTCTGGCAACTGTTTTGTACGATTTACGGTATGGTTGAAAACTTTTTTGGAAACGGCCGAGAATTCAAGCGCGCGGATGTCATCCATATAATTCAATCAAAATGGCCTAATCATTATACAAAGAGAACTCTATTGCACAACAATTGCACATGGTACAATGTATTGCAACAACTATTGAACATATTGTCAAAAAGGTTTGGAATAAAACTCAACATCCTAGTTACTAAAAACAACAAGTGCTTGTATCACGTTTTCTTTTGTACGTGTTGTTTTACCTAACTTGGTTTTAAACTTGTGCGAATTAATATACTTCGATGCAATATACATGTGATTGTATACACAGACGCCATTTTCGCAAAAAGCGCCATGTTGGAATGGGCTCTCGCGAGAACACTGCCTGGCGAGAATTTGCGTGATCTTTTACGAAAACGAGGCCCGTCCAATTCATTGTGTGTTCAAGACTGATTGATATTGCTGGCTAAGTAATAGATAGACCATGGACCAGGCGAGTTGACTGGGATATAGTGTTGCTCCGTCCACAAGGGGACATGGCACCCAAGGCGACAGCCGTGGTTGTCAGACAGTCCCTGAGTGGGTGGGCAACACTATATCCCAGTAAACGAACTCAAGCTCATGGTCTATCTGACCTAGAACATTGCTTTTTCCCCGAAGTTTTCTTTTGCACTTGTTCAATATAATTTTTTTTGTGTGTTTATCTTCAGTTTTTTCTTGTTCAGCATCAGTTTCAATACAGCATTTGTCTTTGAGAAAGCTGGTCTGTTTGTGTTTCAATCCTCTTGTCCCTTGGGTGATTAGGCTGTATAGACCCAAAACCCAGAAAGTGTGTGTACTAACTAAAAAGTGTGGTACTAATTTTATGCAAATGAGTTTTAGTAGCACACTTTTTGGATAGTACCACACCTTTTTGCACTATGTGGATATAGACACAGAAAATAAAGGGCTCTCATTGGCTGTGGGGTAGTGGCCATGTTCTAAAGTTTTTATGGTGCAAATGTTCACTGGAATATTCAAGTTTTGGTGACTTACTTAATGGTTCCAAAGCTGCCTAAGATGGAGTGGGCCCTTGTCGGTGCTAAAGCAGCGATTAATTTGCGCTTATAACCGAATCGATTTATCAAGTCGGCTACTGTAGAGGAGCCGCATTTGTGAACCTTCAAAAAGGCGACGTTTAGGTGAGGCTGACAATGGCCGGTACTGTGTAAAAAGGGAAGAATTGATTAATAGAGTTACACGTAAACATTTGCATACATACATAAACACACAGATCCCTCTACCACATGGCCCAATACAAAGAAATTGTTAACGGATATTGAAATATCATGATAGTGACAGATAGCAACACTACACTACCTATGATAGACTACACTACCTGTGATAGATAGCAACACTACGTACACTACCTATAGAAAATTGCTACGTTGTAAAAGTAGTAAATAATGTCGTGCATCCTAGTAGACGACATGCGAAACTACACATTAATGCAGCAAACACTGCATCGTGAGTAATAGCTGCGAACATGAAAACACAATTGATTACAATATTACACTAATGAGGTCATTGGAGTAACAGCCGGACACTGAGATAGAAAGGCAGAGCTAGTTGTGTTGTTTAACTGCCGTACCTTGGTAACATGTTGCCAGTGTTGTTCGATTCAGAGACGTTAGTTCTGTACCAGAGATGCTGAGTTCCTGATGAAGTCTGCCCACCTTCCGTAACGGTTTTAAAACCCGTCATATCCTGAGTTTGGGTGCATGGGATATGGTTAGGCTGCAATTAGGTACGTCCAATCATTGCAACAGTATATATAACCTCTAAAAATAGTTTTGAAATGTAGTTCTATATCCTGCACAAATCAAACATGAGTTTAATAAAATCATTAACCCTATCTAGACGGGGAGGGGGGCTAAAAGTGCCCGCGTCAAATTTGATGTCACATTGTGTCTAAACAGCTAGCGTTAGAACAAACAAACTTGCTGACTTTTCCTAGAATATTGTTGGCAACAATCTGTATTATGGGAATAAGGTAATAATTTTTAGTGTTGCAATGGCAAATGAATTTTTTGCTAAATTTAGTAATTTTTGTTCCATTTTAAATCAAGTGAATTTTATGCATTTTAAATCAAGTTACACATGGCTTCTAATACTAATAACATCTTAAATGATTTTATGTAAAATCTAAAATGCATAATTTATACTAGTTTGATGACGTCATTGGTCAAAATCCAAAATGGCGGACCATATCATTAGAACACGTATGTACAGGTTGTTTCCTTAAAATTTCATCAATACTTCCATTTCTTTTCACAAAAAAGGTTCATATAAACGTCATTAGTCTGTGTACAATGTACATTAGGCTCTGTCCTGAAAAAAAATATTGTCCGAAGCTATATGGAGCAAAACACAAATTCAATTCAATATTTTCAATTTTCAGACGCTAGCGGAAATAGTACACAAGTCACCTGCCGCCCTCCCCCGGTATGATGTTACAACATCCGTCTATCGTTTGAGCAGCTGGAAAAAAAATCAACATACCTTTTCGTGCCTTTTAATAGCAATATTCTGTGTCATTGTCACTTTCATGTAGGTTACCTTCTTTTTGGGTTGAGGGTTTGGTCTCAACGCGTTCCAGGTGTTTTGCTTCCGAAAAATTATACAACGATGTTAGTTTAACCTTAAAATGAAAACCCGAAATGCTGATAAGAAATAGAAATAAAACATTTGAAAGAGCAATAATGGTCTCCTTAGTTTATCACGTTAGCCTAAGATATAGTGTCATTTCAAACCTGTAAGTGATAAACCAATGCTCCTGACAACAAGACTGCGAGAAGAAAAGCTGCGTGTAATCTGCTGAACACCATGATGATGTACCTCAGACAGCGATATAACTACATAGAGGGAGAGTAAGAATATGTAAAACTACTTTTTAAAAGTGCGTATACTTAACTTTTGTCAAGCATGTCTCCGTTAATATTTAATCATCAAATGTTGCTTTTTTTTCATCATTTCGTATTATCAAAGCTTCTTTAGTGCCATTTAGAATTATACATTGATTAGTATAACCCTACAGCCGTACAGCGAAAATGTGGTTGTGTCACAAATATGCGAGGCCACAATTTGAGAGGTGAGGTCGTTGTAAAATTTAATCAGCTAACGTCTAAACTGCTTGCGCTGAAACCACCAAATTTAATGACTTGCACACATTGTTTAAAGCTGCATTAGGTGACTTTTTGACAATACAAAAAATATATTTTCTATTCTTTTCTTTACATTGTACGTTGACTAAACCCTTTAGTATTCCAGAATAATACTCAGCAACAAAAAATACAACGTCATTGTTCCTTATAAGCTGAGAAAACTGTGAATGATCTTCTCTTTAACCTCCAGGCCAGTGGTGTGGCCTACTTTCCAGTGGGGTGTCAGTTGACAGCTTATAAATTACGGAAAAATCTCATCGTTTACCAGATTTTTAAAAATCCCTTTTGAAAGAATAATGGCCACAGTTTATTGGTGCCCAACGAAATACACTAAGTTCATAATTATATTCCACCACATGTAAAAGATATGAGTTTTTCCTAAGAAGCTAATCTTGTGACATGTGCCCTGTCTATCAAGCCTGCCATGGCCGCCAATTAGCCACCCTAGGGGGCAACCACTGTATGTTGTTGTTGTTGTTGTCATGAGCAAACCGGTGGCACCGTGAGCTGAACAAGAACTGTATTTGCACCAAAAATATCTGTCAAATATGTGAAATGTTTACACAAATGTGTTGAAAAGTGAAAGTAACTGTTGATAACACCGACATTTAGTATAATTAGAATATTGACGCATGTATGGCAATAGGTTTCAAAGTGTAACCATGTTATTTTCTTACTTGCAGTTAGCTATAAGGCCACACCTTAATTTTTATGGATTACATCCGGGCGCGCATTGATTTTCGCCTATTTTCAATAAAAAAACGTCCTCCGAGGCTCTGGCCCAGCTCTGGGCCTGGGTAGTTAGCCACAATACGGAGACGATGGTAACACAGGAGGATGGCGCCCAGGCCACAGAAGCTCCACGACTAAAGAACTTAGTACATACGTACAGTGTCGATTCATAAATTCAGCAAAAAGCCAGCATACATCTCAGGGGCCTTGGCCTGAGCTAAACTGTTAAATGTTAAATTTATTAGTTAAATGAGTTGAAATCTTTAGGGTCGGTTCCTTTTTTCTTTCTCTGCATCAGTTTGAACAGAGAGTTTTAAACATATTCTATGATATTTGTATGTTTTGGGGTATAACATATTCTATACACATCTTGGGCATAACATATATTATATACAAATCTTGCGTATAACATTATATATATACATTTTGGGTATAACATATTATATATACACCTTGGGTATAACATATTATATATGCATCTTGGATATAAAAAAATACGGTAGACCATACCTCTGGGTAGAAGCGCTGTATTCTGACCTTCTACCTACATTGTAGTCACCTGTCAAGTCGGTTAATGATTTTAAACCAGACTCTTTGTCCATGTAGATTGGCCTTGGCCTCCAAATGTATCCTTAGGCTCGTTATTTACGCTCCATAATTGTCCATACCTAACATGAAGGCAAAGATATGATTTCCATACCTAACATAAGCTCAAATATATAATGACCTTTCTACCGTCTTTCTTCTGTGTGAGGAGACACTGAACCAACTGGTTTTCTAGGACTGTGCCACCTTGAGTCATAGGTAAAGGGTATTAATCTTTTAAAGGTTACTCTCAATTCTATATCTTATCTGTTGCCACACAGAGAATTACCTTATTGTTTTGTCACGTTTGAAAATATGACCCATTTGTATACAGTTATGAATAGGAGTGTAAGAGACAATAATAGCACAATGGTATCTTCCAAATGTCAGCAATTATTTGCGCCTTATTAACAGGATGCGTAGCCTTGAATCCAGGGTCACTAAACTTCGTACTAGTAGTCGTTATGATTGTGGACCGCGGAACTGTGGGGTGGTTAACACTTGGGTGCACTGAGACGTTGTATACCTTAAAATTATTTTAAAGGGAGGCGTCCTTGCTTATATGGAAAGTGATCAATGCCAATGCTACTTCTTTTTTAAACAGGGCAGGCCGCCCCGTCTCTTTCAATCAACGAACATTAAACATCGAACATTAATTATTAACTATTGTTAACCCTACGCCTTTTCTCCATCTATCATGCAATAAAGGTTTTCAATGTGAGAACGGTTTTCTGTTCTCCTGTGCTGAGCTGCCTACAGCTACCTAATATACTTGATTATTCGAAAGCAATACATTACCTGTGATGTTCTACAGTATGAGTCATTTTGAGGCCTAACCTTCTGGCTTTATTTATTTATTGTTATATTTTGACGTGTAATGATGAACCGATGTTAGTAGTGGGTGCCAGTATCTTCTAGTCTTGCCATAACTCGCACAAAATGAGCTGTCTAAAGAGAAAGCCTCATTCCATTTACTTTTTGGAACGACCATCTTCCTTGCTGTTTTTCTAGAGTGGCAAAAGTGTGACACGTCTTCGTTGAGGCGTTTAAAATATTGAACTTCCTGTAGAAAATCGGCACCCTCTTTCTCTATCTGCCTCTGAAATGAGGCTTTGAAATGCGTGTATAACATGACATCGGCATGGTTACGCTTGTAAAACCTGTCCTTCATGTTGACTGTGATGGGTGTATTTCGTGTGTACCGTTGTTTCCTCGAAGAACGCCGGTCATATCTGTAAAGGATGTCGTGAAATGTCCAACACATTCGCCGTTTCAGCAGAACTAAAGACTCTGACAGATATTCTAGGATCATCACCACTGTAAAGTCATTGTCTATGCCTTGTATAAAATCTTCAACAGCTGTATGGTTTTTATAATATTTCTCATTGAGTCCCAAATCGCGAGCCATGCAGTTCCTGAAGCAAAAATGTTCTCTGTCTCTTTTGGTCTTGGGTTGACGGTATTGTGGATCCCAAAACTCAGGTCTCTTCAGGAAGGTTGAAACGTAAGAGGCTCCACTGGGAGTCTGTTCCTTGAGCCCAGGAAATCTCCGTTCAAGATGAAAGTACTGAAAAGCAGACTGCAGCCGTCGTAGTGGTTCTCGTAGAATGGTAACATACCTTTAAAAATGAAATGTAAAATTATGTATGAATATGGTATTGCGATTGATTATTAGAAAAAAATTAAGCCCGTTAAGAATAGCACCGTGTTGCAGAAAACGTTTCACTTTACATTTATGGTAAATGATTTACCATGACTTCATGTGTTCTTAACAGCACAAAAAAACTAAACCCATTTTTCGAGTCCTAACTACCCTATTCTTAAAGAACCTTTGCATTAATCAGACACATCAGATTTTGCTAGTTAATTCTAGTACTACCTTCCACTACGCGACCTCACAACCATCATTGTTTTTCGTCAAATCATAATTAAACCTTTAAGTCTTGAATGTGTTTACAGTGTGTTGGCAAACTTTGGGGGGGTGGGAGGTGACTTACGAAAAGTGATGCTTGCGCAAATGATATTGATATAATCATGTTAGTTCGGCCTGACCATCTTATATGGCAGGCAGTACGCACATCACAGACTAATTACATAAGTGTAATTACCTGTACCATATTCGAAACGCGTACCTTGTATTGGGATCCATGAGTTGGCGAAAGCGGGTCCTATTGTATATAGCGTGGGTAGCAAAGATGTTCCAGCGTTTTTCGCCAGGTGGATGCTTGTAGTCACTATTTCTGTATGTACCAACAGGCATTTAGGGTACATGCACCATTTTCTGAAATACAGTTTTGCTAGGACAAAATATAAATAACATTTCTGTTTAGCTTCTTTACGTGTTACTTGAATAATAAGAGCTGCTCCACAAACTATTAAAAACTGTTTTGCTGTCACATTTGAATGTTTCAAGGATCGAAGGATCTAAAATCTATGAAATAAAACACTAAATATAGCAATATACTATGTTAAACAATAACAGGCGCCATGTTTGAATGTCATCTCGCGAGAACACTGCCTAGCGAGAATTTGCGTGATCTTTTACGAAAAGAAGGCCGCCCCATATGACATTAACATGGTTGCCATTTTGGGCTAATGTATAAAGATTGTAGATGTATATAGTTCTTTATTCACTAAGTACTTAAAGTTATTTACCTAATGATACCAAAGCTGCCTATGATGGAGTGGGCACTTTTCGGTGCTAAAGCAACAAATAATTTATGCTTGTAGCCAAAGCGATAGATCATGTTGGCTACTGTAGTAGAGCCGCATTTGTGAACCTTCAGAAACGCAACGTTTAGGTGAGGCTGACAAAGGCCGGTACTGTGTGACAGAAAAAGGACAGAATTAATTAATATGGTTACACGTAAACATTTGCACGCAACGCATACACAAACACAGAGATCCAATTTTCCCTACCATATGACCTATTAGAAAGAAATTGTTAGCTGATATTGCAATATCGTGAGAGTGTCGTTTTGTAATATTGCACTCCCTATAAATATTTAAACTGCTACGTTGAAATTGTTAATTGATATTGAAATATCGTGAGATTGTCGTTTTGTAACATTACACTACCTATAAATATTTAAACTGCTACGTTGTAAAAGTAGTAAATTGTGCCGTGCATACAAGCAGACTAGCAGAACATAAAAACACAATTGATTACAATATTATAAGATAAAGAGTAAGCTTGAACTTCCCACACTTAGATTACGGAATTGGGACTTACCCAAAATTTTCGGTTGACTCCATCAACCTTGTTTACGGAATGGACCCGTCTACTATGGGAACGTGACGTCAGAGACACGTTGCCGTAGTAGCGGGTCATACGTGCCAGATAACTTGTGTCGCCCCCCCGTCTCTGTTCAAGGTAGGTCTGTGAGCTCTTATGTAGACCGCCTCCTTTACTCCTCTTGCGGTGTTGGAAGTTAAAGCTTAGTCTTTATTTTATAATAACTTGTACCAACATAGATGAACTTTCATGCTATGATTACAATATTGATAATATTACACCACTGAGGTCATCGGAGTAACAGCCGGAATCTGGGCAACAAAGGCAGAGCTAGTAGTGTTGTTTAACTGCCGTACCTTAGTAACATGTTGCCAGTGTTGTTCGATTCAGAGACGTTAGTTCTGTACCAGAGATGAGTTCCTGATGAAGTCTGCCCACCTTCCGTAACGGTTTTAAAATCCGTCATATCCTGAGTTTGAGTGCATGGCACGTGGTTAGGCTACAATTACGTACGTTCAATCAATACAACCTCTAATAAAAGTTTTGACATTTACTTCTATATCCTGCACAAATCAAACATGAGTTTATTAAGATGTAAAAAGCTGCACAATTTAAGTCTAGACTTGTCTGTGTAACACAAATGGCCATTCATTGTCCAGAGCACTATGGAGTGTGCATTAGACAACAAGAAAACAAAATTCTTTTCAGACGTTTTATGGATCAAGGCATCTGTTTAGTTTTTAGCCGCTAGCGAAAAGAGTATGCAAGTCACCCGCCGCCCTCCCCCGTTATCACATTACAACATCCGTATATCGTTTGAGCTGCAGGAAAAAAAATATCGATAAAAAGATACCTTTTCGGCCCTTTTAATAGCAATATTCTGTGTCATCGTCACGTTCCTGTAAGTTACCTTCTTTTTGGCATGAGGTTGTGGCCGCAAAGTGTTCCAATTGTTTTGCTTAAAAAAAAAAAAAGACAAAAATTGTAGTTGATGCTTGATAAGAAATTGAGATGAAACATTTGAAAGAGCATTAATGGTCTCCTTGGTTTAGCACCTTATATATAGCCTAACATATAGAGTCTTTACAAACCTGTAAGTGATAAACTGCTGCTCCTGACAACAAGACTGCAAGAAGAAAGACTGCGTGTAATCTGCTAAACACCATGATGATGTACCTCACACAGCGATAAAACTGCGTATAAGGAAAGTACTTTGGTCAAGAATGTCTTCGTTAGTATCTAATTATTATTTTTTTGCATCATTTCCTATTATCAAAGCTTGTCTAGTACCCTTTAGAATTATTCATTGTTTAATACGATCCTACAGCCGTTCAGCAAAGATGCGGTTGTGCCACAAATATGCGAGACCATAATTTGCGAGGTGAGGTCGGTACAAAATTTCATTCGGCTAACGTCCTAACTACTTGCGCGAAAACCACCCAACTTGGTGACTTGCACAATTTAGTGATAAGTCTTCACCGACGCAACTTATTCCAAGGTTTACCTTTTAGTCAATATACATAATTCTACAATCAGATTCTTACCTCTGTAACATTAGCACTGGGATCATCGGCTTTAGACAGCAATCAACTACCGTCCTGGTATGTTTAGGTATAAATCTTTTTACCTACACGATATTATATACTATACAGAGGGTAATCGATAACAATGGATGGCATTTGCGGTGACAGGTTTACTGACAAGGACGCTTGTACAATATACATACGTATTTTGTTGTCTAGGTTACAATACAAAGGAACCTTCACCGCTTCACGCAAGGTTAGACAGAGTACAAAACCATAGAAGCCGAGTGTCATGTTTCATTACCTTGACACTGACGAAAGGCAGTGATGCTACCTGAAACGTCTGACCGTTTCTAAAATCATACCCAGTTTGCTTGAGTAACTGTTTTTTTTGCGTATCGTATTACCTGGACGTCTAACCTTCACCGACGGATTTTTTTATGGGTTCACCACACCACGAAGTGGTGGTGAACCCATATTGCTTTTTCTGATGTTTCTTCTCCTCCTCCTTCTCCTCCTTCTTCTTCTCCTGCCACTTCTTTAAATTGATTCAACTCCTTCATTTTTGGGCGAAATTACCTGTAATTTCGTATAGAGGTAGAGTGGGTAAATGGTAGAGTGGCTTTTACAATCGTTTTATTTGCTTTTTAGTGGTCCCCATAGGAAAGTACTGTGGGGGCGTACGCGCGTGACGTAATAAGAAAGGAATTTGGGGGAAGGCCCAAATATGGGCATACAAGCAGGTGTGGTCATGTTTGCAGATGTGGTTGTTGATTGGCTGTTGGCTAATTAATTTATTTACTACCATTTTCACGTACCAGCGCAGCTGGTCCACGCGGTCTCGGCCGTGGGCCATGATACTCTGATACTGGATACCGATTCGTGTGATTCCTATAAACATTTCACCTAACTACGAACTAGTTGGAAGAATTATAGCTGCATGGATGCCTGTATATGACTTTAACAAACACTGAAAATCTGACGCAAAAACTGGCAGATATTTTGCTCTTCTCTGTTGGAACAACGCAAGCGGGAGGTCAATGACCTGCGCCCCGCGAGTACTGTAAACAACGGTACGTAATGTGTATCGTCGGCGCACGCGCGCGCGCCACGGTATCAACAATTTTCCACAATCTTCACCGACTAGTATTATATATTCTGTTATCGATTTCTGAAGAATCACCAAAATTGTAGAGTGTATCTCCTAGAAAGTCCCTTACTAGTACTGATCGTTACCGCCATGTTGTTCACTTTATATGACATACAATGCAGAGAGTAATGGAAACGTGTCCAGATAGCTCGGTTGGTAACGCGCAGGGCTGCAAGTCCAGACATTACGAGTTCGAACCCCGGTACACTGGATATTTTTAATTATCCTTTTTACAATTTTTAACATTTTTAACAATTTCAACAATTTTAACCATTTTAACCATTTTACATTTTAACAATTTCAACTATTTAATTTTAACATTTTCGTTTTAATATCCATTGCTTTGCTTTTAACATTCCAAAACTGATTGTTCTTACTCAAGAATTTCAATAACTTCGAATGTTAGTCTTTTGTATTTTTTCAACATACAAACCAAAATCACTTTGATGTTGTCACAAAAGTAACATATGTGCGCGCATCGGTTTTCGTTCATTTAAAAACTACAAGTACAAAACATCTGGAAACTAAGCAAACATACTTAGTAAATTGATTGCTGTAATTATGGGTTCACCACTACGAAGTGAACCCATATTGCTTTTTCTGATGTTTCTCCTCCTCCTGCCATATCTTTAAATGGATTCAGCTTCTTCATTTTAGGGCCTAAGGTTCTGAAATTTGGTATGGAGGTAAAGTGGGCAAATACCCCTAGGCGTTTTTTAAATTTTTGTGATACAGGCTTTTAGAATGGTTTTATTTGAGTTTTTTGGCTGTGTTATAGCAAATGTATTACTGTGTTAGTGTGCCGTGTTTACCATGAGTCATCACAATGGAATGCAGGGCATCAACCAATAGGCATGCAGCTTTCCTCTATACTTCTTGCTGATTGGCTGTTGGGATTTAACTTGATTAACACCCGCACAGAGCATTTCCACCTGCACAGAGCATTTCTTGCTGATTGGCTGTTGGGATTTAACTTGATTAACACCTGCACAGAGCATTTCCATACTGACAGTATGTCTTTATTCAAGTGTTTTGGTAGGTATTTCAAGCTTTTCTGCTCCAGCATTGGAATGCGGGGCATGAACGTTTTTTATTTTATTTTGAAAATCAACAGTTTGCATTATGCAATTAAAAATCCTAACCAATAAAGTAGGGAATAGCTATCCAACTGTTGTTTTAGTTGTATGTTACTTCATATTATAGTTATATCAATGTAAATCATTGTTTTCCCTTGTGTTTCTCATTCTTTCGCTGCCATGTGGTAAAATGTGGTGAACCCATCGCTGTATTTGCTCCAAAGCAAATATTGGCCTTTCTAGTTAAAGAGTCGTTTTTTATTAACATTTTATCACACGACATGGTAAAGGCAAATTCAACTTTTCCAAATAATTTCTATGCCACCAACACAGATCACAAAAATATCAAAAGGCAATAGACATACACACTTTTACATTAGTAATGGAAAGAAAGTCGTGTAAAGTGCCCTTTTCAAGGGCAAAATATGGGCGGCATGGCAGAATTTCAATTTTGGACCTCTTGGTTCTAAGCCAAACGCTGTGCCGATAAGCCACATGACCCAAGTGGGGTTACAGAAGAGTTCGAGCAGCGATGTGAATGGTGAGAACAAACGGTTAGCTGTTCTCCTGTGCTGAGCTGCCTACAGCTACCTAATATACCTGATTATTCGAAAGAAATACATTAACTGTGCTGTTTTACAGTATGAGTCATGTTAAGGTTTAACGTTTTACTTGTTCAGTGTTATATTTTGACGTCTAATGATAAACCGATGTTAGTAGTGGGTGCCAGTATCTTCTGCTTTTGCCATAGCTCGCACAAAATGAGCTGCCAACAGAGAAAGCCTCATTCCATTTACTTTTTGGAACGACCATCTTCCTTGACTTCCTTTTTCTTTTCCTAGAGTGGCAGAAGCGTGACACGTCTTTGTTGACGCGTTTAAAATATTGAACTTCCTGTAGAAAATCGGCACCCTTTTTCTCTATCTGCCTCTGTAATGAGTTTTTGAAATGCGTGTATAACATGACATCGGCATGATTACGCTTGTAAAACCTGTCCTTCATGTTGACTGTAATGGGTGTATTTCGTGTGTACCGTTGTTTCCTCGAAGAACGCCGGTCATATTTGTAAAGGATGTCGTGAAATGTCCAACACATTCGCCGTTTCAGCAGAACTAAAGACTCTGACAGATATTCTAGGATCATTACCATTGTAAAGTCATTGTCTATGCCTTGTATAAAATCTTCAACAGCTGTATGGTTTTGATAATCCTTCTCATTGAGACCCAAATCACGAGCCATGCAGTTCCTGAAGCAAAAATGTTCCCTTTCTTTTTTGGTCTTGGGTTGACGGTACTGTGGATCCCAAAACTCAGGTCTCTTCAGGTAGGTTGTCACGTAAGAGGCTCCACGGGGAGTCTGTTCCTGGAGCCCAGGAAATCTCCTTTGAAGATGAAAGTACTGGAAAGCAGACTGCAGCCTTGTCAACGGTTCTCGTAGAATGGTAACATACCTTGAAATAAGAAATTGAAGAAATTACGTATGAAAAATGGCATTGTCATAATCACATACCACACTACTCAGGATTGCACCATGTTGTAGAAAACGTCTCATGTCACTTTAATTTCAAAAACAGTGATATTGAATGCATGTATTGTTACCAGCACATGAGCTATTCAAATTTAGTATTTTTGAATTTCCTGTAACACTATTCTGACAGGCCGTATTAATAAACAAGTCGTTTTATCGATCAATAGGTACTAGCTAACACTAGAATATTACCAAGTACATCACATTGGCCATACAAACTGGTAAACCCTAACTAGGCCTATATGCCGATTAAGGTTTTACATACACAAGTAAAGTGTTACTCAAGCACCTGGATATACTTCGAAAACTGTCAGAAGAAAGTAAGTTTTCAAAATCTATGTTTTTAGATATGGGAGAGAGAGATAAAGAGAGATAGAGAGAGATCTTTTTGAAAATCATGACCACAAAGATATCATCAATGTAATCAAGTCAATGTTGCCTGAGCATGGAAGACAATACGTCCACCACAGCTTAGTCACTTGAGTGAAAACAGCATATTTAGACCGCGTACCTTGTATTGGGATCCATGAGTTGGTGGAAGCGTGTTCTGTTGTACATCGCGTGAGTAGCGAAGATGTTCCAACGTTTTCCACCAGGTGGATGCTTATAGTCGCGGTCCCTGCATGCAACAACATGGATGCATGAATCGATCTGGCCATATAGTTTTCCATGAACAAGACCAAAATGTCTAAGTAACATGTGATATGTTCTGTTGCTTTCTAGTAATCTAAACCATAAAAGGAAATAAAGCGAATATCTATAAACTGGTATTTCGATGGCCCCATTCCAATAACAGGCGCCATGTTGGAATGTACTCTCGCGAGAGTATTGCCCGGCGAGAATTTAGTTGGTCTCTTGCGAAAACGAGGCCTGTCCCATATGTCTGTGTCGATATCACGAATGCCATATAGTGGGCTTAGGATTTTAGGTGAAATAAGTCCTATTTTAATAGAATATATAATTTAGATTAAAAGTTCTTTAAATTTGTTCAAAAAGTCTTGGTAACTTACTTAATCGTTCCAAAGCTGCCTATGATGGACTGGGCACTTTTGGGTGCTAAAGCAACAATTAATTTGTGCTTGTAACCGAAGCGATACATCATGTTGGCTACCGTAGTAGAACCGCATTTGTGAACCTTCAGAAAGGCAACGTTTAGGTGAGGCTGGCAGATTCCTTTACTGTGTAACAGAAAAAATTCTGAATTAGGTAGAAGTTTGAACACATACATACACAAACACACACACAATCAAACACACACACAGAGAGAGACACAAACACACACACATAAACACACACGCACACACAAACACACACACATACAAACACACACAAACACACACACACACAGACACACAGAGACACACACAGACACACACGCACACACACACACACACACAGACACACACACACACAAACACACACACACACACACACAAACACACACAAACACACACACACATTAATAAATACATTGAAGCCAACCCGGTCTTAAGGCGAGTTCCTATAATTGGGATATACCCACCATTGGAAAACACATAAAGCTACCAAGATCGACTAAAATTGACTAAAATTAAAACTTTTCTTAATTCTTACATTTATCACAACACATGGTGACGGCACACTTAAGTTCTTGACACCAGAGTGAAGTGAGGCAAATCGTGTAAAATGTCTTTCCCAAGGGCTCAAATCGGTGGCATGACAGGATTTGAACTCGGGAACTCTTGGTTCCGAGCCAAATGCTCCGTCGTTACGACACACGACCGATGCAGAGATAGTGAAGCCATACTTGAAAGAGGGAAGAGTCTCACTGTTCCCTAACTGAAGTACCTTGGCAACGTGTTCCTGTTCTTACTGTTGATCGATATGGAGACGTTAGTTCTGTACCCAAGACGTTGTGGAGTTCCTGAAAACTTCCGTCCGACTGCCGATGTAGAATTCGCCATATACTTGGTTTGGTTAGCCTGCAACAGAAGGCAATTTCTATGATTGTGATCTCAAACGGTCTTTGTTATCAAGGGACAATATATGTTCTGCACAAAGCAACATGAGTCTAGTAACTAAAGATTTTAATGGTGCATGCACACATACATTTAGTCTAGTCTGTGTAGCACAAACTAATAGTATCATTGTCAAAACTCTATCTAAGGTATCTCCCCGCAGATGTGGCTACTCATTTTGAAGTGATTTGTCACATTTTAGCAGTCGTAAACCGTTGCGGTCTCTAGCGGTAAGAGGATGTTAGGCACCCTGCCCCCGTTGTCATATGACAACATCCGTCTAACCTATAAGCTACAAACTTATGAAAAAATACCTTTTCGTCACTTTTAATAGTAATGTTCTGCATCATCGTTACGGTTCCGTGTAAAACCTTTTTTGGCCGAGGTTGTGACCCGGAAGTGGTCCAATTGTTTTTCTGGAGAAAGAAAATAACGACAGTCATAGACGTTTGTGTGGGGGTGAAAAAGTCTAAATCAAAAATGCTTAATTACAGTTAGCGATGGACGTTTTTGTCGTGAGGGCTAGCCCTTTAAAATAGCCTCCGGCTAGTTGGGCAGTTCTGACTGTATATATCTGGTTATACAGTCTAATAAATTAAATCAAATCAAAAAGAATGATTACCCTCATTTCAATACCTTGCATAATGTTATATTCCAATGATTGTACCTGTTGTCACTGATATATCATTTCTTTAGGTCGTTCCAAAATTATCTAAACGACCGATCCTAACGTTTTTTTTCTTAAATTATCTATTTACTAATACTAAAGTATACACAGACTCCTTCTGTAATATTCCAATTGCAAATTCAACATTTTCTGATTTTGACACTAACTTTGTGTGTTGCGTTTTAACCATCCTTGGTAACAGTTATTGTAGAAATCAACAATAACATTCAAGTGTCTTCACCTGTTGCCACCCTTGGTGTCTGATTTCACAAATTATATTGATAATCTTTGAAACAAACAAAACATCCAGATATGTATAACCAATCGCTTTAAGAACTCATTTATTCCATATGCAACCTATCATTGGAACCAACTGACCCTAGCAGATGGCTCGCTGAGCCTTCCCTCGTTTAGAAAAAAAACGTTTAAAACTTTACGCACCTCCCCCATTACTTACCTTAGTTCCGGTCCCAATTAATCCTGTGCTTTACTTACACGTTTTAGGCTCGGAACACACAGTCTAAATCAAAGCTTTTTCTCTCGTAATTTAGTCCAGCTTGTTCCTGTGGTCACCCATGTAAAAACATTAGTCACTTTTTGTTACACTGCCCTAACTACACTCAACAACGAAATACCATTTTTGGCAACTTAAAAACACTGATTGGCTTTATTACTGACTTGGATGATCTTTTAGATGATATTCTGGTAAATGTAAGTTGTGCTTTGCTTGCTTGTATTATGTATTGTCTGGTGGCGACATAAATATAAGTGTAACTTGGGTGTCGCCAACACGCCTTGTCACTATATGTTTTAATAAAAAAAGTGTCTTCACAAACCTGGACGTGATACATCGCTGCTGCTGACAAGAAGACTGCCAGGAAGAACACCACGTGCAATCTGCTGAGCTCCATACTGATGTACTGTAAGGAAAGAATATTTAAAGAATGTTTAAACTTCACGGTTGAAGCAATACTTAAGCACGGGAGCACATTTACAGTGGCGTCAGTGCCTTTACTCCTGGTTAAAATATGCCTTTCATTGTGGCATTGTGTTATGTATACCGTATATTGTATGGTACACAATTTTGGCCTGTATGCCGCTATCGATGCATGTCTTCCACTTTTGTCTTGTCTCCTTTGAAATGCAGAAGAACAGGGCGGTTCTTGTTGTGGAAACATAGGAGAAGAAGGATCTAACAGCGTGTTTATAGTAAAGCAAGTGCATTGTGTAATTTCATCTGGGTTTACCAGTAAACAAACGTCCGTGCCAGGTGTGCATTCCACTGCCACCATCGCAGCCGGTATAAACAATGGCAATTACAATGATGTTCACTAGAGCCTTGTTCATGTGAAGTCACCCAAACCGCGATTCGGGTAACTCGCATTCCTCACATCTGGTCCACGTGCCATACATTCCTTTCAAACCGTGTCCGATCACGATTCTCCGAAACTGCATTCATTGTTGTTTGATGAAAACACGCAAGGTAGCGTGTTATTAATGTCAGAGGTCAACGACCTGCTTGCCGGTGCCCCCCCCCCCCCCCCCCTCCTCCCAGCGTATCTCGGCCGAATGCCGATGTGGTCCCGCCAGAGGCGGTGAAGCTCGCCCTAAAACGGACACATTATTTTACTATTACTTCTCTTTAAGTTGCTGCCACGTAAAATTTGGTATTGCATATAAAATAAAGAAATAACACCCCGTAATCCATAACTAGGTGAAGTCACATTGAAATCACATTGCGTTCAGAGGCAAATCGCGATGCGGGAAAACCGATTCGAAACCACCTCTAGAAGTAGTTTGGGATCGAGGCGCTTTCAATGTGATTTAGAGCGTTCAGATGGAGTCAATTGAAACCGGCTTCGGGGTAAACCACATGTAAAGCGCTTCACTGACTTCACATGAACACGGCCTAGTATTCGCACATTCATGCCCATGAGGGCTAGGTGCCAAAAGACTGGTTTTCCAGCTGTTGTACTACATAAAGCAGATCACATTCGCGATCTCATGACTTCGCGATGGAGCGGTTATCGTGAATAATGCGAAAATAAAACCACCACGATCATTTCAAGATTTACAGTATCCCAGCCAGAAATAGTCAACTTCTTGCAAAAGAAAGAAGGGTTAAAGCCTTAAAGTTGATAAACCTTATATCTGTTATAGCTCCTAATATTTTTTTGGTCTTTCGTATCGTTTCACATTACTCGTCTACTACAAACAACTGTTTACAATTATGATACATTATTAGCTATAACCATACATCTGTGATTAACAGTAGAGAAGCGTTCTGCAATAGATACGATATCTATATATGAACGTTTGTGCTGTTTGGTGTAAATAGGTCGCCATTTAATTACTCACCAACAGAATGAAGTAATTCACAGATCCAAAAACACATGTTTACTAAATAATTTTTTCTTGTTTACGTCCCCGTTGTGATATTGAGTCGTGACTCCTTCGGGGATGTTTTGTTTCTAGGTCAAACAATACTCATCCTTGTGACGTCACAACACCGTTTAAATGACCTTCCCGTGACCTCGAGCAGCCATTGTAGAATCATGTACAATGAATGTTTCATTGCTTCGCTCAAAATAACGCATCAACCCTGTTTACTTTGTAAATTAGTTATATGTTGGTGGTGTACGGAAATCCAAGACAGTTTATTTGTCTAGGCTTTGCTTTGTTGTTGTAACTTGATAGGCCAGCATGGCCAGGTAATTTCAATGCATCAATCGGATTTATTCAATCCTGTTTACTTTGTAAAATAGTTATATGTTGTAGGTGTACGGAAATCCAAGACAGTTTATTTGTCTAGGCTTTGTTTTGTTGTTATTTGATAGGCCAGCATGGCCAGGTAATTTCAATGACACCTGGTTGAGCCGAATGTTCCACACTCATCGCAACATGAGGCTTTGTAGTGAGGAGCTGACAATATGTGGCCTTACAAAAAAGGCTGCTGTTATTCTTTGCTAAGTCAGGAGACCTACATACTCTACCGGGCGTATAAATGCATGACCGTACATACATGCATGCCCTACCAGACGTAAAAATGCATGACCTTACACACATACATGCTCCACCAGGCGTATAAATGCATGACCTTCATGTGATAATGCGACTAAGGAAGAAAATGTTGTAAATTGGTTTGAAAATTTAAACGCGAATTTATAATTTGATAAAACCGAACTAGACAAATAGCTAAAATTGGTTTGACCGTCCGAAATGGTTACCTCAAAAGTCGATCGGGCCACATTTGGTTCATAGATTTTAATCTATTAAAATAGTCAGTGAGCAAAATGGCCCGCGGGCACTGTTGACAAGTATGTTGACACAGGCCGGGTCACACGTACGTACGAGATTCGTTCAATCCCAAAATATGGACATTCATCAGGACAGCTATGCGTGTACTTAAATCAGAAATTCAGTTGCCTTGTTACTGAAATAGCTTTCATCCTTCTTGTTACTGAAAAGCCTCGGTTCTTGTCTAATCGGCGGCTGGATTTGTCACCGTCTACAGCTACTTAACAAACCGTTCGACATTAAAATTGCAGAATGACCTTCTATAAGTTATATGTAAACGTGCTCGATGTACGTGTGGTTTTCCTTTAACACCGGATATAGGGGTTTTGAGTAATTCGCAAAAGTACCTTTTCCAAGACTACAGCATTTAAAGCTGGTCTAATATATATATAAGATTTTAGCCCAGAATACCTGGATTTGGGGGTTGGCCCTACCGAACAGGTGAAGGTAAAATTATAGCAATCCCTGAATAATATCTTCCATGCAAAATGAATATTGGTAGAAAAATATGAACATACCGTCTGATAGTTGACAATCGGGGAGATCTATGTTTCCTCCCTATTCATCAAAGCTCCATGCAAAAATGAGACCTTTGACCTGAAACTACGCCTGTCAGAAAACCGGTTTCACCACAGAGGACAAGGTCTCTAGCAGACGCTTTGGAGAGGTCCGGTTACAAATGGATACGGACTTTCTTTTCGATCTCTCCAGATTCTCCCGTTTCTGGAGTTAGTTAGACGTTTAAGTCGCCTTTTTAGCCATCAAGTTGTGTGTAAGTTAAGTTTAACGTCATATGCCTTTCTTGCGTCTTCCTTGTCGTCTGAAAGTGAGTTTAAGGCATTTTTGCCGGCTTCACCTCGGGAATTCCAGCGGAGACAACTATGGCGGCGCTTGATGCGAATGATGACATTGACAAACTACAAACTTATGGCTAAGCATAGAAGCCAAAGGTATGCCTAAACTGTCAGAATTTGGCATTGTTGAAGCTGTCTATGATTCTGTTACGAGTGACCTTGGCGAAGGATCAGTGAGTAGGTATCAAAGACAAACAGATAAAGGATCTCCCACCACAGTATCCCCCACCCCGATCCGGAAGTAGGTCAATGTGTAGATGCTGAAGCGGATAGATCTACAGCGGCTATATACGGGACCAGAAAAAGAATAGTAACTCCGATTCCCCCTTTGAACATCTCTACTCTGGTCATAGGGTTTGCTATGATTCGAAGATCCGGGAAGACTTCCCGCGTTACACAACCTATTCCTGACCACATTCACCAGTTTCCCATCCCCAGAATGCAATGCAAAAACAGGGGGCAAAACCTCATTTGCATAGGACAGGAAGGCATCGGAATGATCCTGTTGACGTTAAACAGCTTGTTTTTCACTGTGTTTTGAGGTGTTGGGGCATTTTGTGCAAAAATTGCCAGCAAGATAAGGGCTAGTATAGATGGCAATAAACTGTATATACTGAATTATACTATCTCGTAAGGACAGAAACTCGGCAGAACTTACCGAGTTACCAATTAAACTACATTTTTTTTTGAAAACTTGAAAACAGCCCACGCTCCTCCATAACGTCCTAATAAACCACCCTATTGAATATGCGCGTGTGATTCTTTTGTGCAATACATTATACTGCCACATGAGGACTTCTGGCGCCTGAGTTCGTCACACAGACGGTCCTGGGAAAGAGATTATGCTGGGCGAGGCAGACTATCCGGGGAACGAGTTAATTATTCACGGGCGTGGAGAATGCCCAAACCCCCTCCGTGGCCAAGTTCCTTCCGCGACTAACTCCCTTCTGGGCAAATGTAGAGAGGTAACGGTACACTCTAGCACCACCAAAGAAAGGTACTTTGTATATGTTCGTTTCAACTAATGCATTACCATTGTGACAACATATTTTACCCCAAAATAGGAATCTTGCGTCTTGTTTTAGGTCCCGATACGGTAGAAATAATGCAGTGTATCAGATCGCCGCCGTGTAACGTAACGTACTAGCGAGGGGACGAGCGTGGTAGACGTAACAGCCATGACCGCCGCCACATGCAGCTATTTCTGATGAGATTTTCTTACTTGGAGATCTCAACTGTGATGTATATATACGTGTTGTCAATTATCTATTAAAAACAACTGTGTAGCCTTTTGTTTACTTTTTCAGACTACATATAGCAGCTACAGACAACTTCGATCTTTGTTTTAAACATACCTGTACAGTGTGGGTACATACGGCTCTATAGCTTACGGGTGCTTGAAAAACTGGTTTTACTCGTTACCTCAGCTAGTATGTATTCCCTGGAGACAAATTGAGAATTGGCTAGACAATGCGTGCATGCAGGGATATGCTATATCTCCTTGTATCAAGAATGACCTTATGAACTTAGCACCCGACAACAACTTTCAGAAAGGCTATGCATTCTTCAACCACAGTAGCCGTAATAACGCAAAAGCACGGACTACCAAACAAGCCAGAAGAGGAATACAGATGGTGGTGCCAAATAGGGGCAGGAGACAGGAGGCGACTTCTGACCATCGTCCATGTCAGCAACGCTCTACACCACATGTGTTTAATGATGAACAATGGAGCTTTACCGGTAAGTTTCTCTGGATGTTTTGAGGCGACGTATCGTTTGACTGTGGCAAACATCAACGCGACTGAAATGTGTATTTGTGTTTCTGTATGTGTGTGTATGTGTGTTTCTGTGTATGTATGTGTGTGTGTGTTTATTTGTGTGTGTGTGTGTGTAATTGTTAATGTGTATGTGTCTTTCTGTATGTTTGTGTGTGTGTGTGTGTGTGTGTTTGTTTGTTTGTGTATGTATGTATACTATGTATGTATGTGTCTTTGTATGTGTGTGTGTGTGTGTGTGTTTATTTGTGTGTCTGTGTATGTCTGTTTCTGTATAGATATGTGTGTGTGTGTGTGTGTGTGTGTGTGTGCGTTTATGTGTGGTTGTTTCTGTGTGCGCAGGTGTGTATACATGTGTGTTTGTGTGTGATGATACGTTGCGCAATCTGGACTAAAGTCAACTAAAATCTGACCTCCCCTCCTCCCTCTGCAGTATCTTGCCAAACGTCTAAACATCAGCAACTCGCACTGGGGCCATCTCATCACCATCGTTGCCTTTCTGGAGATCATAGGAGGACCGCTAGGGGGCCGGTTCGGTGACGTGTACGGAGGGCGTCTGTCGCTTACCTTGTCCTGTGCTGCCATGGCAACGACGGCCGCCATGTTGTCAACTTGTAATTCTTTCCAGAGTTTAGTTTTGTCCAAATTCCCGCTTGTTTTCTCTCACGTGTCGACAGGTGAGCTCACACTAAAATAACATCCTGGCCCTTAGATTCACAAAATAATTCACATTATTAAATTTACAGATATAGAGTAAAATCTACTAAATCGCATGTGTTTTTAATTTTTATGTACAATGTATTAACCGCATATCCCAAGTATTCCTTTGACTCTTTACCGTTGTAGTTGGTGTTCAAGTAACAACAATACACAACCATGTAACAAGTGTGGCCATATGTTATTTTTAATACAAAGAAAATATGCAAATCAGGGTCTAATATGCATATTCAATGCATTTCTTTCGTTGTCCTAGGCCTGCATATGGTGATTTCTGACATCACCGATGACGCATCACGCTCCACGGAGCTCGGGACGTTAAGGCTATCCACTACTTTTGGTAATATGGTTGGGTCGGCGGTCGGTGGGATTTTGACCGAAAAATATGGGTAAGTATTTTTCATGCTGTTATCGAGCTGTTGATACTAACTATTGAATATGTAATGAAAAACACGTACAATACTTAAAACACACACAAAACAAGTAGTAAGTACTACCATATAGGCGTAAGGAATAACTGAAATAACTGTGGTATAAACTACTAGAAAGCATTAGAGTGTGTTCATTAACTTTAACCTTGATGCTCGCTCTCTTTACAGAACGACAATGACGTTTCTGTGCACCGCCATGTTGTCTGCTGTATCAGCCCTGCTTGTCTGGATTTACATCCCTGTACAGACTAAACAACATGGAGACAACAACTTGCCTACAACAAGTAAGCCAAGCATCAATGTTGAATCTGAGTTTAGCGTCACTTTAGTCTTCTTTAATAGACTGACCCAGTTTGACTTGCCACGTGGCTTCTTTAAAGTGTGACCTCAACACTGAACCAGTCTATTAGGGAAAGGCCATTACTAGTATTTCGCCATTCAGCAGTTTCCCATCCCAAGAATGCGATGCGAAAATAGCGGGGTAACCTCCATTTGCATAGAACTGTAAGGCATCGGAATGATCCTGGTGACGTTAAACAGCTTGCTTTTCAATGTGTTTTGAAATTTCGCGGCATTTTATGCTCAGCATTAACAAATTACTATGGGTTGAATCTGAAAACAAATAGAGAATGAATTTTTTTGAATATGTGGTTTGTAACGTTATAGTGGTAACGCTATACTGATGCTGTAACGTTACAAACCACATGTTCCGTGTTGAAAAGAACAGCAAAACTTCATTTTTTATTTGTTGTCAGATTCGGCCCATAGTAATTCAATTAATGCTGAGCATAAAATGCCCCAACACCTCAAAACACATTGAAAAGCAAGCTGTTTGACGTCAACAGGATAATTCCGATGCCTTCCAGACGATGCAAATGAGGGTTACCCCCCTGTTTTCGCATTGCATTCTGAGGATGGGAAATTGGTGAATGCGGAGATCAAGCACTCTGATGTATTTTTGGACTTTAGAAAATTTTTCTTAGGCAAAATTGCTCAGAAAAGCCTAGTTTTCTTGTAAAAGGGACAGACGAATTTTATATATTTTGAAAACCTGGCAAAAAAGGGTGACCTTTGGCATGGGCTGACCTGTTATTGACCTCTAATTAGTTTGCCAGGGGGGGGGTGAAATCCTGGTATCATTTCAATATTTTGGCTGTGCCTCTTTAAACGCCGGAATCTACCTTCAACTTCTTCCACCAAACAAACTGACAAACCCAGCTTTGCAGTGTGGGGAAGGACTTGAGGTTTGAAACAAAGGTAAACGTGTTATCAAGTGCTTGTTTTATAGTGGTTTGAGCATAGAATTCCAATGCACAGCCTACTTGCTGGTCCATCTCCTATTGACCTGCAGAGTGACCTGTCGAAAGCTCTAGGTGAGAGCAATAATTGAGGGAAAGAAAGATGCGAACGGTCAATCACTACCCCACATATTTAGAGATGAAACAAAATATTCTTTTTAACCAGGAGTTTGACAACTGATGTAATATTTTCTCACTGTATCACATGTGTGTTTTGCAAGTGATGTATGTATTTATTGTAATAAAGAAATAAAGAACATCACCACCAAAAGTTGTAACGTTAAATATGTAAACTATACCAACACAGATTCATCCGACTCAGTAATTTACATATATGTTAATTGAATAATATTTTTAAAGTAAAAATGAACTTATGCCAAAAAACAGTTACTCAAGCAACTGGATATGATTTTTAAAACGTCAGACGTTTCAGCTAGTATCCACTAGCTTTCGTCAGTGACTGAGAGACCAGAGGGGAAAGCAGGTTTATATACACAACCTGTTGATTGATATGCAAATAAAAGTGAAGACAAATTTTTGGAACACTTAAGCTCCTGTCCTGTATAACAAGAGCTTTCAGACTAATTTGCATCATCTTGTCTTGACTTGTCTGACTTTTGTTCCTTTTTCGACTTCCAAAAATTTGTCTTCACTTTATTTGCATATCAATCAACAGGTTGAGTATATAAACCTGCTTTCCCCTCTGGTCTCTCAGTCACTGACGAAAGCTAGTGGATACTAGCTGAAACGTCTGACGTTTTCAAAATCATATCCAGTTGCTTGAGTAACTGTTTTTTGGCATATCGTATTACCTGGATGTCTAACCTTCATCGACGTATCTTGGATCATTACGGTAAGTTTTGCCTGAGCTCTGTGAGGGATCTGGAGAAGACCAGCAGGAAGATTGCAGATTTCCGGAATCATCTACGCTTCAGTCTACGCTGCCTCAAGGTAAGTATCACACCCACCAGCCTACGCCTAAAAACTTCCATCAGAGGCTTCAACGCCAACAAGATCATCTTCAACGCGGAAAGAAAGTTACTAAACGAAAGGGTAAGACAGATCAACTACAAATTAGACGGTCTAAACGCGAGGAAATCTAACCTTGAAAAACTACTGAGGGAGAAACTATCAGACGAGATTTTTGCCGAAACTAAAGAGTTCATAACACGCGGACAACTTGATCAGCACGAGAAGGGAAAAGACAGACAGAAGACCAAATTTGATCGTTTGCAGCAAAAGAAGACTATTAGCGCAGCAGATAGTGACCCAAATTGGAGATCAAACAGTTCCGAACCCAAAACCACTACACAGGCCAAAACCGACGAGAGGTGGGTAAAAAACCTAAGTAGGCCATACTCTCACAGAACCAGAGAAATCACTGCTTTAAGGTCTAAATTTGCAGTAGCACCCAACAAGA